AATCAGTGATATTTAAGGTTAAAAACAGGGATTTCTAGGAAAATAAGCGATATTTAAGGGGAAAAACAGGGATTTCGATGAAAATAAGAGATATTTCAGGGGAAAAACAGGGATTTCTAGGAAAATAAGCGATATTTATGGGGAAAAACAGGGATTTTTGTGAAAATAAGTGATATTCCAGGTTAAAAACAGGGATTTCTATGAAAATAAGCGACATTTCAGGGGAAAAATAGGGATTTCTAGGAAAATAAGCGACATTTATGGGGAAAAACAGGGATTTCTAGGAAAATAAGTGATATTTCAGGTTAAAAACAGGGATTTTTGTGAAAATAAGCGATATTTAAGGATTAAAAACAGGGATTTCTATGAAAATAAGCGATATTTTCGGGGAAAAACAGGGATTTCTATGAAAATAAGCGATATTTCAGGTTAAAAACAGGGATTTCGATGAAAATAAGTGATATTTAAGGGGAAAAACAGGGATTTCTAGGAAAATAAGCGATATTTCAGGTGAAAAACAGGGATTTCGATGAAAATAAGCGATATTTGAGGATAAAAACAGGGATTTCTATGAAAATAAGCGATATTTTCGGGGAAAAACAGGGATTTCGATGAAAATAAGCGATATTTAAGGGGAAAAACAGGGATTTCTATGAAAATAAGCGATATTTCAGGTGAAAAACAGGGATTTCTATGAAAATAAACGATATTTCAGTGGAAAAACAGGGATTTCTAGGAAAATAAGCGATATTTCAGGTGAAAAGCAGGGATTTCGATGAAAATAAGAGATATTTCAGGTGAAAAACCGGGATTTCTAGGAAAATAAGCGATATTTAAGGGGAAAAACAGGGATTTCTATGAAAATAAGCGATATTTCAGGTGAAAAACAGGGATTTCTATGAAAATAAGCGATATTTCAGGTTAAAAACAGGGATTTCTATGAAAATAAGCGATATTTCAGGTGAAAAACAGGGATTTCTATGAAAATAAGCGATATTTCAGGGGAAAAACAGGGATTTCTATGAAAATAAGCGATATTTCAGGTTAAAAACAGGGATTTCTATGAAAATAAGCGATATTTCAGGTAAAAACAGGGATTTCTATGAAAATAAGCGATATTTCAGGGGAAAAACAGGGATTTCTATGAAAATAAGCGATATTTCAGGTTAAAAACAGGGATTTCGATGAAAATAAGCGATATTTCAGGGGAAAAACAGGGATTTCTAGGAAAATAAGCGATATTTAGGGGAAAAACAGGGATTTCTATGAAAATAAGCGATATTTAAGGTTAAAAACAGGGATTTCTATGAAAATAAGCGATATTTAAGGGGAAAAACAGGGATTTCTATGAAAATAAGAGATATTTCAGGGGAAAAACAGGGATTTCTAGGAAAATAAGCGATATTTATGGGGAAAAACAGGGATTTTTGTGAAAATAAGTGATATTCAGGTTAAAAACAGGGATTTCTATGAAAATAAGCGATATTTCAGGGGAAAAACAGGGATTTCTAGGAAAATAAGCGATATTTATGGGGAAAAACAGGGATTTCTAGGAAAATAAGCGATATTTCAGGTTAAAAACAGGGATTTCTATGAAAATAAGCGATATTTAAGGATTAAAAACAGGGATTTCTATGAAAATAAGCGATATTTCAGGTTAAAAACAGGGATTTCGATGAAAATAAGCGATATTTAAGGGGAAAAACAGGGATTTCTATGAAAATAAGCGATATTTCAGGTGAAAAACAGGGATTTCGATGAAAATAAGCGATATTTTAGGGGAAAAACAGGGATTTCTATGAAAATAAGCGATATTTAAGTTGAAAAACAGGGATTTCTATGAAAATAAGCGATATTTCAGGGGAAAAACAGGGATTTCTATGAAAATAAGCGATATTTAAGGTGAAAAACAGGGATTTCTATGAAAATAAGCGATATTTATGGTGAAAAACAGGGATTTCTATGAAAATAAGCGATATTTAAGCTTAAAAACAGGGATTTCTATGAAAATAAGCGATATTTCAGGTGAAAAACAGGGATTTCTATGAAAATAAGCGATATTTTAGGTGAAAAACAGGGATTTCTATGAAAATAAGCGATATTTCAGGTGAAAAACAGGGATTTCTAGGAAAATAAGCGATATTTCAGGTGAAAAACAGGGATTTCTAGGAAAATAAGCGATATTTCAGGGGAAAAACAGGGATTTCTATGAAAATAAGCGATATTTAAGGGGAAAAACAGGGATTTCTATGAAAATAAGCGATATTTCAGGTGAAAAACCGGGATTTCTATGAAAATAAGCGATATTTAAGGGGAAAAACAGGGATTTCGATGAAAATAAGCGATATTTCAGGTGAAAAACAGGGATTTCTATGAAAATAAGCGATATTTCAGGTTAAAAACAGGGATTTCTATGAAAATAAGCGATATTTCAGGTGAAAAACAGGGATTTCTATGAAAATAAGCGATATTTAGTGGTTAAAAACAGGGATTTCTATGAAAATAAGCGATATTTCAGGGGAAAAACAGGGATTTCTAGGAAAATAAGCGATATTTATGGGGAAAAACAGGGATTTCTATGAAAATAAGTGATATTTCAGGTTAAAAACAGGGATTTCTATGAAAATAAGCGATATTTCAGGGGAAAAACAGGGATTTCTATGAAAATAAGCGATATTTAGGGGAAAAACAGGGATTTCTAGGAAAATAAGCGATATTTCAGGGGAAAAACAGGGATTTCTATGAAAATAAGCGATATTTAAGGGGAAAAACAGGGATTTCTAGGAAAATAAGCGATATTTCAGGTTAAAAACAGGGATTTCTATGAAAATAAGCGATATTTAAGGATTAAAAACAGGGATTTCTATGAAAATAAGCGATATTTTCGGGGAAAAACAGGGATTTCTATGAAAATAAGCGATATTTCAGGTGAAAAACAGGGATTTCTATGAAAATAAGCGATATTTTAGGGGAAAAACAGGGATTTCTATGAAAATAAGCGATATTTATGTGTTAAAAACAGGGATTTCTATGAAAATAAGCGATATTTCAGGGGAAAAACAGGGATTTCTATGAAAATAAGCGATATTTCAGGTTAAAAACAGGGATTTCTATGAAAATAAGCGATATTTCAGGGGAAAAACAGGGATTTCTAGGAAAATAAGCGATATTTATGGGGAAAAACAGGGATTTCTATGAAAATAAGCGATATTTAAGGTTAAAAACAGGGATTTCTAGGAAAATAAGCGATATTTCAGGGGAAAAACAGGGATTTCGATGAAAATAAGCGATATTTCAGGGGAAAAACAGGGATTTCTAGGAAAATAAGCGATATTTAAGGGGAAAAACAGGGATTTTTGTGAAAATAAGTGATATTCCAGGTTAAAAACAGGGATTTCTATGAAAATAAGCGACATTTCAGGGGAAAAACAGGGATTTCTAGGAAAATAAGCGATATTTAGGGGAAAAACAGGGATTTCTATGAAAATAAGCGATATTTCAGGGGAAAAACAGGGATTTCTAGGAAAATAAGCGATATTTAAGGGGAAAAACAGGGATTTCTATGAAAATAAGTGATATTTCAGGTTAAAAACAGGGATTTCTATGAAAATAAGCGATATTTAAGGATTAAAAACAGGGATTTCTATGAAAATAAGCGATATTTTCGGGGAAAAACAGGGATTTCGATGAAAATAAGCGATATTTAAGGATTAAAAACAGGGATTTCGATGAAAATAAGTGATATTTAAGGGGAAAAACAGGGATTTCTATGAAAATAAGCGATATTTCAGGTGAAAAACAGGGATTTCGATGAAAATAAGCGATATTTTAGGGGAAAAACAGGGATTTCTATGAAAATAAGCGATATTTCAGGGGAAAAACAGGGATTTCTATGAAAATAAGCGATATTTAGTGGTTAAAAACAGGGATTTCTATGAAAATAAGCGATATTTCAGGTTAAAAACAGGGATTTCTATGAAAATAAGCGATATTTCAGGGGAAAAACAGGGATTTCTATGAAAATAAGCGATATTTCAGGGGAAAAACAGGGATTTCTATGAAAATAAGCGATATTTAAGGTTAAAAACAGGGATTTCTAGGAAAATAAGCGATATTTAAGGGGAAAAACAGGGATTTCTATGAAAATAAGCGACATTTCAGGGGAAAAACAGGGATTTCTATGAAAATAAGCGATATTTAGGGAAAAACAGGGATTTTTGTGAAAATAAGTGATATTCCAGGTTAAAAACAGGGATTTCTATGAAAATAAGCGATATTTCAGGGGAAAAATAGGGATTTCTAGGAAAATAAGCGATATTTATGGGGAAAAACAGGGATTTCTAGGAAAATAAGTGATATTTCAGGTTAAAAACAGGGATTTCTATGAAAATAAGCGATATTTAAGGATTAAAAACAGGGATTTCTATGAAAATAAGCGATATTTCAGGTTAAAAACAGGGATTTCGATGAAAATAAGTGATATTTATGGGGAAAAACAGGGATTTCTAGGAAAATAAGCGATATTTCAGGTGAAAAACAGGGATTTCGATGAAAATAAGCGATATTTTAGGGGAAAAACAGGGATTTCTATGAAAATAAGCGATATTTTCGGGGAAAAACAGGGATTTCTATGAAAATAAGCGATATTTAATGGTTAAAAACAGGGATTTCTAGGAAAATAAGCGATATTTCAGGTGAAAAACAGGGATTTCTATGAAAATAAGCGATATTTCAGGGGAAAAACAGGGATTTTTGTGAAAATAAGTGATAATTATGGGGATAAACAGGGATTTCTATGAAAATAAGCGATATTTTAGGAAAAACAGGGATTTCTATGAAAATAAGCGATATTTTCAGGGGAAAAACAGGGATTTCTAGGAAAATAAGCGATATTTCAGGTTAAAAACAGGGATTTCTATGAAAATAAGCGATATTTCAGGTGAAAAACAGGGATTTCTATGAAAATAAGCGATATTTCAGGGGAAAAACAGGGATTTCTATGAAAATAAGCGATATTTCAGGGGAAAAACAGGGATTTCTATGAAAATAAGCGATATCTGAGGATTAAAAACAGGGATTTCTATGAAAATAAGCGATATTTCAGGGGAAAAACAGGGATTTCTATGAAAATAAGCGATATTTCAGGGGAAAAACAGGGATTTCTATGAAAATAAGCGATATTTTCGGGGAAAAACAGGGATTTCAATGAAAACAAGCGATATTTCAGGGGAAAAACAGGGATTTCTATGAAAATAAGCGATATTTCAGGGGAAAAACAGGGATTTCTATGAAAATAAGCGATATTTAAGGTTAAAAACAGGGATTTCTATGAAAATAAGCGATATTTAAGGGGAAAAACAGGGATTTCTATGAAAATAAGCGATATTTAAGGATTAAAAACAGGGATTTCTATGAAAATAAGCGATATTTCAGGTTAAAAGCAGGGATTTCTATGAAAATAAGCGATATTTCAGGTGAAAAACAGGGATTTCTATGAAAATAAGCGATATTTAGTGGTTAAAAACAGGGATTTCTATGGAAATAAGCGATATTTCAGGTTAAAAACAGGGATTTCTATGAAAATAAGCGATATTTCAGGGGAAAAACAGGGATTTCTATGAAAATAAGCGATATTTCAGGGGAAAAACAGGGATTTCTATGAAAATAAGCGATATTTAAGGTTAAAAACAGGGATTTCTAGGAAAATAAGCGATATTTAAGGGGAAAAACAGGGATTTCTATGAAAATAAGCGATATTTCAGGTTAAAAACAGGGATTTCTATGAAAATAAGCGACATTTCAGGGGAAAAACAGGGATTTCTATGAAAATAAGCGACATTTCAGGTGAAAAACAGGGATTTCTATGAAAATAAGCGATATTTCAGGTGAAAAGCAGGGATTTCTATGAAAATAAGCGATATTTAAGGATTAAAAACAGGGATTTCTATGAAAATAAGCGATATTTTCGGGGAAAAACAGGGATTTCTATGAAAATAAGCGATATTTCAGGTGAAAAACAGGGATTTCTATGAAAATAAGCGATATTTCAGTGGTTAAAAACAGGGATTTCTATGGAAAATAAGCGATATTTCAGGTGAAAAACAGGGATTTCTATGAAAATAAGCGATATTTCAGGGGAAAAACAGGGATTTCTAGGAAAATAAGCGATATTTCAGGTTAAAAACAGGGATTTCTATGAAAATAAGCGATATTTAAGGTTAAAAACAGGGATTTCTAGGAAAATAAGCGAAATTTAAGGGGAAAAACAGGGATTTCTATGAAAATAAGCGATATTTCAGGGGAAAAACAGGGATTTCTAGGAAAATAAGCGATATTTAAGGGGAAAAACAGGGATTTCTAGGAAAATAAGTGATATTTCAGGTTAAAAACAGGGATTTCTATGAAAATAAGCGATATTTAAGGATTAAAAACAGGGATTTCTATGAAAATAAGCGATATTTCAGGGGAAAAACAGGGATTTCTATGAAAATAAGCGATATTTAAGGGGAAAAACAGGGATTTCTATGAAAATAAGCGATATTTCAGGTTAAAAACAGGGATTTCTATGAAAATAAGCGATATTTAAGGGGAAAAACAGGGATTTCTATGAAAATAAGCGATATTTCAGGTTAAAAACAGGGATTTCTATGAAAATAAGCGATATTTAAGGGGAAAAACAGGGATTTCTATGAAAATAAGCGATATTTCAGGTGAAAAACAGGGATTTCGATGAAAATAAGCGATATTTAAGGGGAAAAACAGGGATTTCTATGAAAATAAGCGATATTTTCGGGGAAAAACAGGGATTTCTATGAAAATAAGCGATATTTCAGGTGAAAAACAGGGATTTCTATGAAAATAAGCGATATTTCAGGGGAAAAACAGGGATTTCTATGAAAATAAGCGATATTTAAGGTTAAAAACAGGGATTTCTATGAAAATAAGCGATATTTCAGATTAAAAACAGGGATTTCTATGAAAATAAGCGATATTTCAGGGGAAAAACAGGGATTTCTATGAAAATAAGCGATATTTCAGGGGAAAAACAGGGATTTCTATGAAAATAAGCGATATTTAAGGGGAAAAACAGGGATTTCTATGAAAATAAGCGATATTTCAGGTTAAAAACAGGGATTTCTATGAAAATAAGCGATATTTCAGGGGAAAAACAGGGATTTCTATGAAAATAAGCGATATTTTCGGGGAAAAACAGGGATTTCTATGAAAATAAGCGATATTCAGGTTAAAAACAGGGATTTCTATGAAAATAAGTGATATTTAAGGGGAAAAACAGGGATTTCTATGAAAATAAGCGATATTTAAGGATTAAAAACAGGGATTTCTATGAAAATAAGTGATATTTCAGGGGAAAAACAGGGATTTCTATGAAAATAAGCGATATTTTAGGGGAAAAACAGGGTTTTCTAGGAAAATAAGCAATATTTAATGGTTAAAAACAGGGATTTCTAGGAAAATAAGCGATATTTTAGGGTTAAAAACAGGGATTTCTATGAAAATAAGCGATATTTAAGGGGAAAAACAGGGATTTCTAGGAAAATGAGCGATACTTAAGGGTTAAAAACAGGGATTTCTATGAAAATAAGCGAAATTTAAGGGGAAAAACAGGGATTTCTATGAAAATAAGCGATATTTTAGGGGAAAAACAGGGATTTCGATGAAAATAAGCGATATTTAGTGGTTAAAAACAGGGATTTCTATGAAAATAAGCGATATTTTCGGGGAAAAACAGGGATTTCTAGGAAAATAAGTGATATTTAGTGGTTAAAAACAGGGATTTCTATGGAAATAAGCGATATTTCAGGTTAAAAACAGGGATTTCTATGAAAATAAGCGATATTTTCGGGGAAAAACAGGGATTTCTATGAAAATAAGTGATATTTAAGGGGAAAAACAGGGATTTCTATGAAAATAAGCGATATTTCAGGTTAAAAGCAGGGATTTCTATGAAAATAAGCGATATTTCAGGTGAAAAACAGGTTTTTTCTATGAAAATAAGCGATATTTAGTGGTTAAAAACAGGGATTTCTATGGAAATAAGCGATATTTCAGGTTAAAAACAGGGATTTCTATGAAAATAAGCGATATTTAAGGGTTAAAAACAGGGATTTCTATGAAAATAAGTGATATTTCAGGGGAAAAACAGGGATTTCTATGAAAATCAGCGATATTTAAGGTTAAAAACAGGGATTTCTAGGAAAATAAGCGATATTTAAGGTTAAAAACAGGGATTTCTAGGAAAATAAGCGACATTTCAGGGGAAAAACGGGGATTTCTAGGAAAATAAGCGATATTTATGGGGAAAAACAGGGATTTTTGTGAAAATAAGTGATATTCCAGGTTAAAAACAGGGATTTCTATGAAAATAAGCGACATTTCAGGGGAAAAACAGGGATTTCTATGAAAATAAGCGATACTTAAGGGTTAAAAACAGGGATTTCTATGAAAATAAGCGATATTTAAGGGGAAAAACAGGGATTTCTAGGAAAATAAGCGATACTTAAGGGTTAAAAACAGGGATTTCTATGAAAATAAGCGAAATTTAAGGGGAAAAACAGGGATTTCAATGAAAATAAGCGATATTCCAGGTTAAAAACAGGGATTTCTATGAAAATAAGCGACATTTCAGGGGAAAAACAGGGATTTCTAGGAAAATAAGTGATATTTCAGGTTAAAAACAGGGATTTCGATGAAAATAAGCGATATTTAGCGGTTAAAAACAGGGATTTCTATGAAAATAAGCGATATTTTCGGGGAAAAACAGGGATTTCTATGAAAATAAGCGATATTTCAGGTTAAAAACAGGGATTTCGATGAAAATAAGTGATATTTAAGGGGAAAAACAGGGATTTCTATGAAAATAAGCGATATTTCAGGTGAAAAACAGGGATTTCGATGAAAGTAAGCGATATTTTAGGGGAAAAACAGGGATTTCTATGAAAATAAGCGATATTTTCGGGGAAAAACAGGGATTTCGATGAAAATAAGCGATATTTCAGGTTAAAAACAGGGATTTCTATGAAAATAAGCGATATTTCAGGTGAAAAACAGGGATTTTTGTGAAAATAAGCGATATTTCAGGGGAAAAACAGGGATTTCGATGAAAATAAGCGATATTTAAGGTTAAAAACAGGGATTTCCATGAAAATAAGCGATATTTCAGGTTAAAAACAAGGATTTCTATGAAAATAAGCGATATTTAAGGGGAAAAACAGGGATTTCTATGAAAAGCGATATTTCAGGGGAAAAACAGGGATTTCTATGAAAATAAGCGATATTTAAGGTTAAAAACAGGGATTTCTATGAAAATAAGCGATATTTAAGGGTTAAAAACAGGGATTTCTATGAAAATAAGCGATATTTAAGGGGAAAAACAGGGATTTCTATGAAAATAAGCGAAATTTAAGGGGAAAAACAGGGATTTCTATGAAAATAAGCGATATTTAAGGGGAAAAACAGGGATTTCTAGGAAAATAAGCGATACTTAAGGGTTAAAAACAGGGATTTCTATGAAAATAAGCGAAATTTAAGGGGAAAAACAGGGATTTCAATGAAAATAAGCGATATTCCAGGTTAAAAACAGGGATTTCTATGAAAATAAGCGACATTTCAGGGGAAAAACAGGGATTTCTAGGAAAATAAGCGATATTTCAGGTGAAAAACAGGGATTTTTGTGAAAATAAGTGATATTCCAGGTTAAAAACAGGGATTTCTATGAAAATAAGCGACATTTCAGGGGAAAAACAGGGATTTCTAGGAAAATAAGCGATATTTAAGGGGAAAAACAGGGATTTCTAGGAAAATAAGTGATATTTCAGGTTAAAAACAGGGATTTCGATGAAAATAAGCGATATTTAAGGATTAAAAACAGGGATTTCTATGAAAATAAGCGATATTTTCGGGGAAAAACAGGGATTTCTAGGAAAATAAGCGATATTTCAGGGGAAAAACAGGGATTTCGATGAAAATAAGTGATATTTAAGGGGAAAAACAGGGATTTCTATGAAAATAAGCGATATTTCAGGTGAAAAACAGGGATTTCGATGAAAGTAAGCGATATTTTAGGGGAAAAACAGGGATTTCTATGAAAATAAGCGATATTTTAGGTGAAAAACAGGGATTTCGATGAAAATAAGCGATATTTCAGGTTAAAAACAGGGATTTCTATGAAAATAAGCGATATTTCAGGTGAAAAACAGGGATTTCTAGGAAAATAAGCGATATTTCAGGGGAAAAACAGGGATTTCTATGAAAATAAGCGATATTTAAGGTTAAAAACAGGGATTTCTAGGAAAATAAGCGATATTTAAGGGGAAAAACAGGGATTTCGATGAAAATAAGAGATATTTCAGGGGAAAAACAGGGATTTCTAGGAAAATAAGCGATATTTATGGGGAAAAACAGGGATTTTTGTGAAAATAAGTGATATTCCAGGTTAAAAACAGGGATTTCTATGAAAATAAGCGACATTTCAGGGGAAAAATAGGGATTTCTAGGAAAATAAGCGACATTTATGGGGAAAAACAGGGATTTCTAGGAAAATAAGTGATATTTCAGGTTAAAAACAGGGATTTTTGTGAAAATAAGCGATATTTAAGGATTAAAAACAGGGATTTCTATGAAAATAAGCGATATTTTCGGGGAAAAACAGGGATTTCTATGAAAATAAGCGATATTTCAGGTTAAAAACAGGGATTTCGATGAAAATAAGTGATATTTAAGGGGAAAAACAGGGATTTCTAGGAAAATAAGCGATATTTCAGGTGAAAAACAGGGATTTCGATGAAAATAAGCGATATTTTAGGGGAAAAACAGGGATTTCTATGAAAATAAGCGATATTTTCGGGGAAAAACAGGGATTTCGATGAAAATAAGCGATATTTAAGGGGAAAAACAGGGATTTCTATGAAAATAAGCGATATTTCAGGTGAAAAACAGGGATTTCTATGAAAATAAGCGATATTTCAGTGGAAAAACAGGGATTTCTATGAAAATAAGCGATATTTCAGGTGAAAAGCAGGGATTTCGATGAAAATAAGCGATATTTCAGGTGAAAAACCGGGATTTCTAGGAAAATAAGCGATATTTAAGGGGAAAAACAGGGATTTCGATGAAAATAAGCGATATTTCAGGTGAAAAACAGGGATTTCTATGAAAATAAGCGATATTTCAGGTTAAAAGCAGGGATTTCTATGAAAATAAGCGATATTTCAGGTGAAAAACAGGGATTTCTATGAAAATAAGCGATATTTAGTGGTTAAAAACAGGGATTTCTATGAAAATAAGCGATATTTCAGGTTAAAAACAGGGATTTCTATGAAAATAAGCGATATTTATGTGTTAAAAACAGGGATTTCTATGAAAATAAGCGATATTTCAGGGGAAAAACAGGGATTTCTATGGAAATAAGCGATATTTCAGGTTAAAAACAGGGATTTCGATGAAAATAAGCGATATTTCAGGGGAAAAACAGGGATTTCTAGGAAAATAAGCGATATTTATGGGGAAAAACAGGGATTTCTATGAAAATCAGCGATATTTAAGGTTAAAAACAGGGATTTCTAGGAAAATAAGCGATATTTAAGGGGAAAAACAGGGATTTCGATGAAAATAAGAGATATTTCAGGGGAAAAACAGGGATTTCTAGGAAAATAAGCGATATTTATGGGGAAAAACAGGGATTTTTGTGAAAATAAGTGATATTCCAGGTTAAAAACAGGGATTTCTATGAAAATAAGCGACATTTCAGGGGAAAAATAGGGATTTCTAGGAAAATAAGCGACTTTTATGGGGAAAAACAGGGATTTCTAGGAAAATAAGTGATATTTCAGCTTAAAAACAGGGATTTCTATGAAAATAAGCGATATTTAAGGATTAAAAACAGGGATTTCTAGGAAAATAAGCGATATTTCAGGTTAAAAACAGGGATTTCGATGAAAATAAGTGATATTTAAGGGGAAAAACAGGGATTTCTATGAAAATAAGCGATATTTCAGGTGAAAAACAGGGATTTCGATGAAAATAAGCGATATTTTAGGGGAAAAACTGGGATTTCTATTAAAATAAGCGATATTTAAGTTGAAAAACAGGGATTTCTATGAAAATAAGCGATATTTAAGCTTAAAAACAGGGATTTCTATGAAAATAAGCGATATTTCAGGTGAAAAACAGGGATTTCTATGAAAATAAGCGATATTTTAGGTGAAAAACAGGGATTTCGATGAAAATAAGCGATATTTCAGGTGAAAAACAGGGATTTCTAGGAAAATAAGCGATATTTCAGGTGAAAAACAGGGATTTCTATGAAAATAAGCGAAATTTAAGGGGAAAAACAGGGATTTCTATGAAAATAAGCGATATTTAAGGGGAAAAACAGGGATTTCGATGAAAATAAGCGATATTTCAGGTGAAAAACCGGGATTTCTAGGAAAATAAGCGATATTTAAGGGGAAAAACAGGGATTTCGATGAAAATAAGCGATATTTCAGGTGAAAAACAGGGATTTCTATGAAAATAAGCGATATTTCAGGTTAAAAGCAGGGATTTCTATGAAAATAAGCGATATTTCAGGTGAAAAACAGGGATTTCTATGAAAATAAGCGATATTTAGTGGTTAAAAACAGGGATTTCTATGAAAATAAGCGACATTTCAGGGGAAAAACAGGGATTTCTAGGAAAAGAAGCGATATTTATGGGGAAAAACAGGGATTTTTGTGAAAATAAGTGATATTCCAGGTTAAAAACAGGGATTTCTATGAAAATAAGCGACATTTCAGGGGAAAAATAGGGATTTCTAGGAAAATAAGCGACTTTTATGGGGAAAAACAGGGATTTCTAGGAAAATAAGTGATATTTCAGGGGAAAAACAGGGATTTCTATGAAAATAAGCGATATTTAAGGGGAAAAACAGGGATTTCTAGGAAAATAAGTGATATTTCAGGTTAAAAACAGGGATTTCGATGAAAATAAGCGATATTTAAGGATTAAAAACAGGGATTTCTATGAAAATAAGCGATATTTTCGGGGAAAAACAGGGATTTCTATGAAAATAAGCGATATTTCAGGTGAAAAACAGGGATTTCGATGAAAGTAAGCGATATTTTAGGGGAAAAACAGGGATTTCTATGAAAATAAGCGATATTTATGTGTTAAAAACAGGGATTTCTATGAAAATAAGCGATATTTCAGGGGAAAAACAGGGATTTCTATGAAAATAAGCGATATTTCAGGTTAAAAACAGGGATTTCGATGAAAATAAGCGATATTTCAGGGGAAAAACAGGGATTTCTAGGAAAATAAGCGATATTTATGGGGAAAAACAGGGATTTCTATGAAAATAAGCGATATTTAAGGTTAAAAACAGGGATTTCTAGGAAAATAAGCGATATTTAAGGGGAAAAACAGGGATTTCGATGAAAATAAGCGATATTTCAGGGGAAAAACAGGGATTTCTAGGAAAATAAGCGATATTTAAGGTTAAAAACAGGGATTTTTGTGAAAATAAGTGATATTCCAGGTTAAAAACAGGGATTTCTATGAAAATAAGCGACATTTCAGGGGAAAAATAGGGATTTCTAGGAAAATAAGCGACTTTTATGGGGAAAAACAGGGATTTCGATGAAAATAAGTGATATTTCAGGGGAAAAACAGGGATTTCTAGGAAAAAAAGCGATATTTAAGGGGAAAAACAGGGATTTCTAGGAAAATAAGTGATATTTCAGGTTAAAAACAGGGATTTCTATGAAAATAAGCGATATTTAAGGATTAAAAACAGGGATTTCTATGAAAATAAGCGATATTTTCGGGGAAAAACAGGGATTTCGATGAAAATAAGCGATATTTAAGGATTAAAAACAGGGATTTCGATGAAAATAAGTGATATTTAAGGGGAAAAACAGGGATTTCTATGAAAATAAGCGATATTTCAGGTGAAAAACAGGGATTTCGATGAAAGTAAGCGATATTTTAGGGGAAAAACAGGGATTTCTATGAAAATAAGCGATATTTCAGGGGAAAAACAGGGATTTCTATGAAAATAAGCAATATTTAGTGGTTAAAAACAGGGATTTCTATGAAAATAAGCGATATTTCAGGTTAAAAACAGGGATTTCGATGAAGATAAGCGATATTTCAGGGGAAAAACAGGGATTTCTATGAAAATAAGCGATATTTATGGGGAAAAACAGGGATTTCTATGAAAATCAGCGATATTTAAGGTTAAAAACAGGGATTTCTAGGAAAATAAGCGATATTTAAGGGGAAAAACAGGGATTTCTATGAAAATAAGCGACATTTCAGGGGAAAAACAGGGATTTCTAGGAAAAGAAGCGATATTTATGGGGAAAAACAGGGATTTTTGTGAAAATAAGTGATATTCCAGGTTAAAAACAGGGATTTCTATGAAAATAAACGATATTTCAGGGGAAAAATAGGGATTTCTAGGAAAATAAGCGACTTTTATGGGGAAAAACAGGGATTTCTAGGAAAATAAGTGATATTTCAGCTTAAAAACAGGGATTTCTATGAAAATAAGCGATATTTAAGGATTAAAAACAGGGATTTCTATGAAAATAAGCGATATTTCAGGTTAAAAACAGGGATTTCGATGAAAATAAGTGATATTTATGGGGAAAAACAGGGATTTCTAGGAAAATAAGCGATGTTTCAGGTGAAAAACAGGGATTTCGATGAAAATAAGCGATATTTTAGGGGAAAAACAGGGATTTCTATGAAAATAAGCGATATTTTCGGGGAAAAACAGGGATTTCTATGAAAATAAGCGATATTTAATGGTTAAAAACAGGGATTTCTAGGAAAATAAGCGATATTTCAGGTGAAAAACAGGGATTTCTATGAAAATAAACGATATTTCAGGGGAAAAACAGGGATTTTTGTGAAAATAAGTGATAATTATGGGGATAAACAGGGATTTCTATGAAAATAAGCGATATTTTAGGAAAAACAGGCATTTCTATGAAAATAAGCGATATTTTCAGGGAAAAACAGGGATTTCTAGGAAAATAAGCGATATTTCAGGTTAAAAACAGGGATTTCTATGAAAATAAGCGATATTTCAGGTGAAAAACAGGGATTTCTATGAAAATAAGCGATATTTCAGGGGAAAAACAGGGATTTCTATGAAAATAAGTGATATTTCAGGGGAAAAACAGGGATTTCCATGAAAATAAGCGATATCTGAGGATTAAAAACAGGGATTTCTATGAAAATAAGCGATATTTCAGGGGAAAAACAGGGATTTCTATGAAAAGCGATATTTTAGGGGAAAAACGGATTTCTATGAAAATAAGCGATATTTTCGGGGAAAAACAGGGATTTCAATGAAAACAAGCGATATTTCAGGGGAAAAACAGGGATTTCTATGAAAATAAGCGATATTTCAGGGGAAAAACAGGGATTTCTATGAAAATGAGCGATACTTAAGGGTTAAAAACAGGGATTTCTATGAAAATAAGCGAAATTTAAGGGGAAAAACAGGGATTTCGATGAAAATAAGTGATATTTAAGGATTAAAAACAGGGATTTCTATGAAAATAAGCGATATTTCAGGTTAAAAGCAGGGATTTCTATGAAAATAAGCGATATTTCAGGTGAAAAACAGGGATTTCTATGAAAATAAGCGATATTTAGTGGTTAAAAACAGGGATTTCTATGGAAATAAGCGATATTTCAGGTTAAAAACAGGGATTTCTATGAAAATAAGCGATATTTCAGGGGAAAAACAGGGATTTCTATGAAAATAAGCGATATTTCAGGGGAAAAACAGGGATTTCTATGAAAATCAGCGATATTTAAGGTTAAAAACAGGGATTTCTGTGAAAATAAGCGATATTTAAGGGGAAAAACAGGGATTTCTATGAAAATAAGCGATATTTCAGGTTAAAAACAGGGATTTCTATGAAAATAAGCGACATTTCAGGGGAAAAACAGGGATTTCTATGAAAATAAGCGACATTTCAGGTGAAAAACAGGGATTTCTATGAAAATAAGCGATATTTCAGGTTAAAAGCAGGGATTTCTATGAAAATAAGCGATATTTAAGGATTAAAAACAGGGATTTCTATGAAAATAAGCGATATTTTCGGGGAAAAACAGGGATTTCTATGAAAATAAGCGATATTTCAGGTGAAAAACAGGGATTTCTATGAAAATAAGCAATATTTAGTGGTTAAAAACAGGGATTTCTATGGAAATAAGCGATATTTCAGGTGAAAAACAGGGATTTCTATGAAAATAAGCGAAATTTCAGGGGAAAAACGGATTTCTATGAAAATAAGCGATATTTCAGGTTAAAAACAGGGATTTCTATGAAAATCAGCGATATTTAAGGTTAAAAACAGGGATTTCTAGGAAAATAAGCGAAATTTAAGGTTAAAAACAGGGATTTCTATGAAAATAAGCGACATTTCAGGGGAAAAACAGGGATTTCTAGGAAAATAAGCGATATTTAAGGGGAAAAACAGGGATTTCTAGGAAAATAAGTGATATTTCAGGTTAAAAACAGGGATTTCTATGAAAATAAGCGATATTTAAGGATTAAAAACAGGGATTTCTATGAAAATAAGCGATATTTCAGGTGAAAAACAGGGATTTCGATGAAAATCAGTGATATTTAAGGGGAAAAACAGGGATTTCTATGAAAATAAGCGATATTTCAGGTTAAAAACAGGGATTTCGATGAAAATCAGTGATATTTAAGGGGAAAAACAGGGATTTCTATGAAAATAAGCGATATTTCAGGTTAAAAACAGGGATTTCGATGAAAATAAGCGATATTTAAGGGGAAAAACAGGGATTTCTATGAAAATAAGCGATATTTCAGGTGAAAAACAGGGATTTCGATGAAAATAAGCGATATTTAAGGGGAAAAACAGGGATTTCTATGAAAATAAGCGATATTTTCGGGGAAAAACAGGGATTTCTATGAAAATAAGCGATATTTCAGGTGAAAAACAGGGATTTCTATGAAAATAAGCGATATTTCAGGGGAAAAACAGGGATTTCAATGAAAATAATCGATATTTAAGGTTAAAAACAGGGATTTCTATGAAAATAAGCGATATTTCAGATTAAAAACAGGGATTTCGATGAAAATAAGCGATATTTCAGGGGAAAAACAGGGATTTCTATGAAAAGCGATATTTAAGGGGAAAAACAGGGATTTCTATGAAAATAAGCGATATTTAAGGGGAAAAACAGGGATTTCAATGAAAACAAGCGATATTTCAGGTTAAAAACAGGGATTTCTCTGAAAATAAGCGATATTTTAGGGGAAAAACAGGGATTTCTATGAAAATAAGCGATATTTTCGGGGAAAACCGGGGATTTCTATGAAAATAAGCGATATTCCAGGTTAAAAACAGGGATTTCGATGAAAATAAGTGATATTTAAGGGGAAAAACAGGGATTTCTATGAAAATAAGCGATATTTCAGGTGAAAAACAGGGATTTCGATGAAAATAAGCGATATTTTAGGGGAAAAACAGGGATTTCTATGAAAATAAGCGATATTTATGTGTTAAAAACCGGGATTTCTAGGAAAATAAGCGATATTTCAGGGGAAAAACAGGGATTTCTAGGAAAATAAGTGATATTTCATGTGAAAAACAGGGATTTCTATGAAAATAAGCGATATTTATGGGGAAAAACAGGGATTTCTATGAAAATAAGCGATATTTAATGGTTAAAAACAGGGATTTCTATGAAAATAAGCGATATTTAAGGGGAAAAACAGGGATTTCTATGAAAATAAGCGATATTTCAGGGGAAAAACAGGGATTTCTAGGAAAATAAGCGAAATTTCAGGTGAAAAACAGGGATTTCTATGAAAATAAGCGATATTTTAGGTGAAAAACAGGGATTTCTATGAAAATAAGCGATATTTCAGTTTAAAAACAGGGATTTCTATGAAAATAAGCGATATTTTCGGGGAAAAACAGGGATTTCTATGAAAATAAGCGATATTTCAGGGGAAAAACAGGGATTTCTATGAAAATAAGCGATATTTCAGGGGAAAAACAGGGATTTCTATGAAAATAAGCGATATTTCAGGGGAAAAACAGGGATTTCTAGGAAAATAAGCGATATTTAAGGATTAAAAACAGGGATTTCTATGAAAATAAGCGATATTTCAGGGGAAAAACAGGGATTTCTATGAAAATAAGCGATATTTAAGGGGAAAAACAGGGATTTCTAGGAAAATAAGCGATATTTAAGGGGAAAAACAGGGATTTCTAGGAAAATAAGCGATATTTCAGGTGAAAAACAGGGATTTCTATGAAAATAAGCGATATTTTCGGGGAAAAACAGGGATTTCTATGAAAATAAGCGATATTTCAGGTGAAAAACAGGGATTTCTATGAAAATAAGCGATATTTCAGGTTAAAAACAGGGATTTCTATGAAAATAAGCGATATTTCAGGGGAAAAACAGGGCTTTCTATGAAAATAAGCGATATTTTCGGGGAAAAACAGGGATTTCTATGAAAATAAACGATATTTCAGGGGAAAAACAGGGATTTTTGTGAAAATAAGTAATAATTATGGGGAAAAACAGGGATTTCTATGAAAATAAGCGATATTTAGTGGTTAAAAACAGGGATTTCTATGGAAATAAGCGATATTTCAGGTTAAAAACAGGGATTTCGATGAAAATAAGCGATATTTTAGGGGAAAAACAGGGATTTCGATGTAAATAAGTGATATTTAAGGGGATAAACAGGGATTTCTAGGAAAATAAGCGATATTTCAGGTGAAAAACAGGGATTTCGATGAAAATAAGCGATATTTTAGGGGAAAAACAGGGATTTCGATGAAAATAAGTGATATTTATGTGTTAAAAACCGGGATTTCTATGAAAATAAGCGATATTTCAGGGGAAAAACAGGGATTTCTAGGAAAATAAGTGATATTTCATGTGAAAAACAGGGATTTCTATGAAAATAAGCGATATTTATGGGGAAAAACAGGGATTTTTGTGAAAATAAGCGATATTTCAGGTTAAAAACAGGGATTTCGATGAAAATATGCGATATTTAAGGGGAAAAACAGGGATTTCTATGAAAATAAGCGATATTTCAGTTTAAAAACAGGGATTTCTAGGAATATAAGCGATATTTTAGGTGAAAAACAGGGATTTCTATGAAAATAAGCGATATTTTAGGTGAAAAACAGGGATTTCTATGAAAATAAGCGATATTTCAGTTTAAAAACAGGGATTTCTATGAAAATAAGTGATATTTTCGGGGAAAAACAGGGATTTCTATGAAAATAAGCGATATTTCAGGGGAAAAACAGGGATTTCGATGAAAATAAGCGATATTTAGTGGTTAAAAACAGGGATTTCTATGAAAATAAGCGATATTTCAGGGGAAAAACAGGGATTTCTATGAAAATAAGCGATATTTAAGGGGAAAAACAGGGATTTCTATGAAAATAAGCGATATTTAAGGGGAAAAACAGGGATTTCTAGGAAAATAAGCGATATTTCAGGTGAAAAACAGGGATTTCTATGAAAATAAGTGATATTTTCGGGGAAAAACAGGGATTTCTATGAAAATAAGCGATATTTCAGGTGAAAAACAGGGATTTCTATGAAAATAAGCGATATTTCAGGTTAAAAACAGGGATTTCTATGAAAACAAGCGATATTTCGGGTTAAAAACAGGGCTTTCTATGAAAATAAGCGATATTTCAGGTGAAAAACAGGGATTTCTATGAAAATAAGCGATATTTCAGGGGAAAAACAGGGATTTTTGTGAAAATAAGTAATAATTATGGGGAAAAACAGGGATTTCTATGAAAATAAGCGATATTTAGTGGTTAAAAACAGGGATTTCTATGGAAATAAACGATATTTCAGGTTAAAAACAGGGATTTCGATGAAAATAAGCGATATTTTAGGGGAAAAACAGGGATTTCGATGTAAATAAGTGATATTTAAGGGGATAAACAGGGATTTCTAGGAAAATAAGCGATATTTCAGGTGAAAAACAGGGATTTCGATGAAAATAAGCGATATTTTAGGGGAAAAACAGGGATTTCGATGAAAATAAGTGATATTTATGTGTTAAAAACCGGGATTTCTATGAAAATAAGCGATATTTCAGGGGAAAAACAGGGATTTCTAGGAAAATAAGTGATATTTCATGTGAAAAACAGGGATTTCTATGAAAAGAAGCGATATTTATGGGGAAAAACAGGGATTTTTGTGAAAATAAGCGATATTTCAGGTTAAAAACAGGGATTTCGATGAAAATAAGCGATATTTAAGGGGAAAAACAGGGATTTCTATGAAAATAAGCGATATTTCAGTTTAAAAACAGGGATTTCTAGGAATATAAGCGATATTTTAGGTGAAAAACAGGGATTTCTATGAAAATAAGCGATATTTTAGGTGAAAAACAGGGATTTCTATGAAAATAAGCGATATTTCAGTTTAAAAACAGGGATTTCTATGAAAATAAGTGATATTTTCGGGGAAAAACAGGGATTTCTATGAAAATAAGCGATATTTCAGGGGAAAAACAGGGATTTCGATGAAAATCAGTGATATTTAAGGGGAAAAACAGGGATTTCTATGAAAATAAGCGATATTCCAGGGGAATAACAGGGATTTCTAGGAAAATAAGCGATATTTAAGAATTAAAAACAGGGATTTCTATGAAAATAAGCGATATTTCAGGGGAATAACAGGGATTTCTAGGAAAATAAGCGATATTTAAGGGGAAAAACAGGGATTTCTATGAAAATAAGCGATATTTAGTGGTTAAAAACAGGGATTTCTATGAAAATAAGCGATATTTAAGGGGAAAAACAGGGATTTCTATGAAAATAAGCGATATTTAAGGGGAAAAACAGGGATTTCTAGGAAAATAAGCGATATTTAAGGGGAAAAACAGGGATTTCTAGGAAAATAAGCGATATTTCAGGTGAAAAACAGGGATTTCTATGAAAATAAGT